TGACTTAGGCAAAAAGGTATGGGCTTAAGGCTGATCCTTGATGTATTCCAACAAAAATTAGAAAATACTTGGTCAAACCACCTTGTGTTTGAACACAAGTAGTAGCTTTTGCGTACATATCCTTAATGACTTGAATATAAGCATTGTTAACCCCTTTCTTTTATAGAACTCTCCATAACACTTCTCTTGGAACTTTATCATATGATTTCTTTAAGTCAATAAATATTATATGTAGATCCTCCTTATTCTCCCCATACTTCTCTATCAAGCCTCTCAATAAATGTATAGCTTTCTGTTACGCTTGAACCGGCCCAGGAGGGGCCGGCTGGACCCGGTTCAGCCCGGGTCTACACCAGGCTGGGGCGGAAACGCCCAGAGGAGGGGGCGGACAAGGTGGACCCCACTTGGGGCTGATTTAATTATGTGGGAGGGAAATTTTTGAATGCAAAGGGCTGTTTAGGTAATTTGTAGGAATCCTTGATTGTTAATTAGGAGGATTAGGAGGGAGAGGGGCTCATCTTGAATTTGAATCATTTTTGAGATCTAGGGTTTGTGTTCTTGGGCTCTAGGCTACGGCTAGAGATTTGGAGAGTTTTTCCTTCCTCTCGAATTGAAGGAAAGTTGTATCTTGCAAGTGCTTTTCATCCCTTATTAGAATAAAAGTGTTTGCTTTGTTTTTCTTACTTTTTTCTCCTTCGTATTCTCTCCGATTCCACTGTTTTTGGCTGTTTTTACTGTGTGGACAGCAGTTTTCATCCTAGATCTATTGGGTTTTGGTGAGAAACACTTGGAAATCCAAGTGTTTCCTATCACTTTCATAGTAGACATACTCAACATGAATCCAAATTGATTTTGAGAAATATTAGTATCACGCTGCAACCTATGCTTCATAACTCTCTCCCATAGTTTTAAAGTATGACACATTAACTTAGTTCCTCTATAATTCGTACAATCTTATGCATCACCTTTATTCTTAAAAATAGAAATCAATGTACTCATTCTCCACTCATCTGACATTTTTTGTCTTCAAATTAATATTAAAAAGTTTAGTAAGCCAAGAAGTTCCTTTATCTCCCAAGCATTTCCACACCTTTATTATAATATTATCAGGTCCAATTGCTTTTCCACAATTTACTTTCTTTAAAGCTCTCTAACTTCGGTTTTAATAATATGCCGATAAAAAAAAATCTTTATTTTCATTTAGAGTGCTAAGGTCGCTAAAGTCAACACTAAAATCTTTGCATCACATATTGCTTTCTTAGACTCCTTATGGGCCCCTTTTTCTCTTTCTCAATTATTATAATTTTTATGTTTAAACCAATTTTTATAATAAATCTTCTTTTTTAATCTTTTCTTATACATTTGATTTCACCACCAATTATTTTTACTATTTAGAATTTTTCCCTTTGATACTTTATGCACAACTTTTGCAACATTTTTGATACCATTATACTTTTTCCAACATAATATTAGCTTTCTCATGCACATACAAAATCTTAAAATCTAGTATCATACACCAAAAATATTTTTGTTAATATTCTTTAAATAACCCCATCTAATCCAAGAATAATATTTTACTTTATTTTTTATTTTATACCCCTACATCTTAAAATTCAAAACTAATAAGCGATGTTATGTACATAAACTTTCAATTGGAATAATTTAATAATCTTTGCAATCTAAACGATATATTTTTTTAAAAGAAAATAATCAATTTGAGTTTTATTATATCTATTCTTATAAGTGAGGAGATGCTCAATTCTTTTCTTAAATAAGATATTAGCAATTACAAAATCATAAGCCAAAGAAAATCTAATTTAATCTTACTATCTTCATTAGTCACTTCAAACCCATAGCCACCATGAATGCTTTTAAAATTATTTATCTCTCTACCTACATGTCCATTTAAATTTACTCTAATAAATTTTTTTCTTCAAGAGGTATCTTTTGTATTAATTCTTCTAAATCATTCCAAAATTTTAATTTTGAACCCATATTTAAACTTACTTGAGAAGCATAAGCACTTATAATATTAATAATTTTAACATCAACAACAAATTTAAAGTTATAATTCTATCTTCAATTCTATTAATTTTTACAACATTATCCTTTAAACTCTTATCTGTAATCACACCTACACTATTTTTAGTATGACTCTTATCAGATTACCATAGTTTAAATCATAAACTATCAATCTCCTTAACCTTCTCTCCAACCTATTTAGTTTCTTGAATGCATCGAATATTTATTTTGCTATGAATCATAATATATATTAATTTAATTATTTTGCCTATAATGGTACCTATATTCCAAGTTCATATCCTAATTTTAGTTTCATAGACTAGCTTCTTTGCCTACATCCGTCCATGATGTGAAAACCCTTGCCTATTTAACACTGCACCCGAGCGCCGGTGTTGCGACCCTTGCACTCTTGTTTCTGTATTCAGGCCATATAGCACGCCGCTTTCAGGGAACATCCTAGCATTATCACAATGTATTAAAGAATTCATGTCATGATTATTCGATAAGTTTTATGCTGGCTGTTGACTACCTAACGCAATCCTCCACTTTTCTCATCCAAAAGCTCCTTGAATAGTACTAAAAAGTCATCTTGTGTTGCTTGAATTGTGGAGATTACTATGACTTAATCAAATATTGAAATAAACTCCAATTTTCAGCCTCATTACTATTTTGGATAGAAATCATGTATGAAGTTCTTATTTTGGACCTATTCAACATGTATTAAGGTTACAATTTGATATCATATGTTCGTTTGTCTATTTAAACTTGTATGGAACATGTTCTTGATTTGACATTATTAAACTCTAATTTTATTGGAGTATAAATTTTAGTTTTAAATTTGATTGAATTAGCATTTTGAGAATCTCCTAGATTATACTAAAGGCACACTCATACAAAAATTATATACAATGAAATATAGTTTTATTGAAGAAACTAAAGTTCTTGAATATTCTTTGAAGATGCATTAAATTGATATGCATTGGAGAAACGTGATAATTATGGGGACTTTTTCGGCTTTTTCAGATATATATATGTATATATATATATACACATTTAATTGAGGCCAGCATTGTGAATCCAACTGATCCCTTCATTATTGTTGAATGTTGATGAGTTATTTCATAATAATATTTACTTTAGTTATTCAATTACTTGTTAGTGTTGTAACAATTTTTTATCAAACAACCATAACCTTTACAAATATTATTACAATAGTCTTGCCAAACAGTCAATAATACCAAATATTCAGCAACTCGTCACAATGCAACATAATAAGACGTCCATATCAAACATAACCTTAATTTGGCCATCCATGTATTTTTTTTGGGCTGAACATCCAAATTAATTTAATTTACTCGTTCTATGTATGATTTTATTGTACTTATTCATTGTCCTTTATATTCTCTTTGGAAAAAAATTGTGTTAGGATATGCAGATACAATTTATATCAAGAAGGGGCCTGAGCACTATTCAATTTTCTTTGAGATTAGTATTGCGTGAGAATAGTTTGTATTGCACTAATTTCAAAATAAATTCAATGATATTTAAGACTATCTATCGTGATACAAACTATCAAGATAACTTGACACAATTTTTTTTTCATTATTTTCTCTCATCATAACCTAATTCCTCTTTTTAAGTATACAATGCTAATTGAAAGTATTTGACACTCTCTAGAATTGCGTGTTTCATGTTTTATTTTTATCCCACTAATCCTATGGCTATTTCGTCTAAAACTTCCAACATTATTACAAGTAGTTCACTTGTTTATACAACCCTCTCAACTATTAGAATTACAAGTATGCCATTTCTAAGTAGTTTATACCATGAAATCTAGGTCTGAATATGTTTAGCAAGCTTTTTATAACCAATTAAAAAAAATATAAACGTAATGTTGATCTTTGATGTGATTTTACTGTGATTTGATTTGAAATTCTTTACTTAACAAATATTTTTGATATTGGTAATTTTTTTATATATCTCTATTAGAGTACACTATATCAACTCGTAGTATTCAATCTTCTACTAATCAATTTAAACAATATGAAGATATTTTTTTCCCTGTACTTTTTAATAATTGCTTTAGGATGGCATAGCTTCCAGCATTAAAAGCAGCACATGTATAATATATAGTTTTCATTCAGGAACTTATTTTCTATGTTACAATGCTGGTGCACTTCCCAAAGGCGAATGAGTTTGAAAGAAGATCATTCTTTGTTTTTTTTTTTTTTTTTTGTCTTTTTTTTTTTTTTTTTTTTTTTGGTCTTTTTTGTTGCTTTTGTTTTTAGTTTGGTTTGTAATTAGTTGTGAAATATTTTGCATGCTAGACAAATGATGTGATCCAATGCAATGTGTAATTAATCTCAACAACAACAACAAGCCTTTATCCCACTATGTAGGGTTGGCTACATGAATCCTTTTTCTCCATTGTCTTGTTAAGAGTCAATGTGTCATTGATCTCGTTAAAATAATAATGAAAATAAAATTTATTTGCAAAACTGAAGTGAAGGCCTTACTTTGAAGCTATTTTGTTGTGACTAAATGAAGAATATTTTTCTAATGATGATGATTGATATAGATATTGCCTATTTGTTCGAACTGATGCCAGCATGCTTTTCTGAGGCTCACCTGAAATAAGCAATCTATTTTTAATTTCTAAAGCCTGATTGATATCTTAGCATCTTGCTTTTCTGAGGCTCACATGAAATGAGCTATCTTTTTTTAGTTTCTAAAGCATGATTGATGTCTTACGTATTTTTCTTTTAATGTTTCTAATTCGGTTTGTATTTTCTTGTTTTCTTGAAGTTTTACTGACATACTTTCATTAAAGCTCTTACTCATGTTTTGTATTGTTGAAATTTATTCATTAAATTGTATAATATTTGTTTAAATGTTATTTAATGTAGTATTCTCTGTGTTTGAAGCACATGGTCTTTCACTAAAATCATGCTAACATAATTATCTATTTCATATTGTAGGTGGTAGATTTAAGAGAGAGTGAGCAAGAGTTGAAGCTTTTTTTGGATATGTATCGGCGTGAATCCACAGATTCTTGGTAGGAATTTATTTCTCATTAAGTTAACCATTTAATAGTTGTAGCTTTTATTTTTTTTCCTTTTCTGAAAGCATTAAATATTTTGTTTCCTTGGATGTGTCTGACTTATATATCTGAACTGTGTTGGGTTTAAGGATTTAGTATTGAGTTGCCAACTTTTCATATTACCTAAGAAATTAGTAATTGTTGGTGAAATTTTGTCATCTTCAATGGATTGTAAATTTTGTGATCGAACACGTCATAGAAAATGATACATTGTCCCGAAAGTTAATAATATCATTTCCCTAAGGACTCAATAACAAAATTTACAATTTGAATTTTACACATAAATTTTCCCTCATTTAATATTTGGTTGAATGAGAATTTTAATCAGGGGTATAGATTCACATAGGCTTCTATGGTTAATTACATCTCAAAAGTTTGTTATTTAGAATTTTTTTTATTAAACTAGTTGTTTTCTTTCTTTTGAAAATCATCAAAATATTGGCTATAGATCTTCATTTTGAAATTTATAAAATGCTTGTTTAAAGATTTTACTCTTTAGGAATTTCAAGGATGAATATATCAACTTTAAATTAGATTTTTTGGAATGAGAGCCAAATGTGCGAGTGTAGGAGTACTTGATTTTGAGGGAAAACTCAGAGGTACTCAAATTATTCTATGTTGGGCTTTACATTTTAGAATCAAATTTTGTTTAAGTTGATCATTTTTATTTAGAGTGCTGAGGCATATTCCAACGATACGTGTTGGAGGAAATGCCTGGAAGGTGAGTGCTTATGAATTGACTGGAGTTAACATCTGCCTCAAATCCTAGAACTAAGATGATGACTACTGAGGGATAGTGGCTCGAACCTAAATCTAATAGTGTAAATGGATTTATAAACTACACATCAACTGCGGTATAGTTAGCCCGATCTCTAGATTTATTGTGCTGTCTGAAAAGAGCTACCACTAGATGCTTTGAAAACTATAAAATCTGGTTTCAATGTATACGAAGAGTATAAAATATTGTTTTGTTTAGAGGATATGACTTACAACTTTGCTTTGAGGTCATGACGCCTGGCCATGTGGGTATGCACAATGCTAACTCACAATGAAATCAAATTATTATTATATAATTCTTAAGTGAGAGTTTTCTACATGTGACACACTGGGCTATGTATGATTATTTTCAATTTTGAAAAAGTTGGCTCTTTGAAAGGTGCTATGCAATTTTTTTTTTAATTAGAAAAATATTATTTCTTATAATTGATTTTAAGATTGTTTTTATTTTAATGAGTAAAACAATTAGTTTTATACTAAAAGTCTATCACATAAAATATATCCAGGCCACCCCCAAGCAAAATAGAAGAAGAAACCTAGGAAAAATTATGCATTTCTATTGCACAATTAAGTAAACAATCAATGCATGCTTTTGTATATAAAATCAATCAAGATTGGAATGTAAATAATCTCTCAATTATTATAATTTTGATTATCAGCTGAGTTTTCTGCCATTATACAATCAAGTTAAATTTATTACAGACTTGTAGGGATCTTCAAATTTTGCCTTCTAGGTAGGTCTTAAGCTTCACCTTTACTAGGCTCGTCATCTTGATCTACCTTTCCTTTAACTAAACCCCACAAGTTCATATATACATCATAAGTCCAATCAAATCAATTTTGAAAAGAAAATACTCACATCAAGGGATTAGTAAAATAGTTTGTATGACAGAAATATCACATCCAACATTGTCTAGCATTTGAAGTGCTACCACTTGAAGTGCTAAGCCCTGTTTCTATCCTATTAGACACATCTACTTTGAGGATTTAGTAGCAACTATTAGCGAGCATTTTTATTTATTATTTATTGCACCCCCACTTGGATATGACCACATGCAGAAAAGAGTATGTATATGTCTAAACTGACAAATTAGGGGCAAGTACCCACAGCGCAGACAATCTAATATTCATCATACCACAACATCAAACACATGCGTGAAAAAAATTCTAATTCTAGCATGCCTAGGAGCTGTGCACCTAAGCGTGTGCAGGCTGTGTGGTATGTCATTACAAAAGCCCTCACTTAAGGACTATATAACAAAAGTCTACTTTCTTTGTGAGTCAGCATATGCATGCCCTAAATAACTAGACATCTTGGCCTCAAAGCCAAGCTATAAGTCCTACTTTCTAAATAAAGCAACCCTCCACCCCTTATATGTATTGAGACTGGAAAACATGGTTTTAAAAGCATTTAGGTGGGTCTAGCTGGTAGTCCTTTCCAGGCAGGATAATAAATCCAGAGGTCGGGCTGGTTATGTCTCATGTGAGGTGTAGCTTATAAGCCCCTTTTGCATTCCGTTTGACTTAGGTTTGAGGCACTACCTCTGGGTAGTCTTCACCTTAATTTTAGGATCCGAGGCAAATGGTTGATTCCAATCACCATATAAGTCCTCACCTTTCGGACAATTCCTCCAATATGTGTTCTTGAAATGTAAGCCCCAACCTTTTATTGAAAATATCAACTTAAACAAAAATTAGATTTCTAAAATGTAAAGTCTAACATAGGATAGTTTGAGTACCTCTGAGTTCTCCTCATAATCAAGTACTCATACACCTCTTTCCTTTGGCCCTCATTCCAAAAAATCTAATTTTATGTTGATCCTTTCACCTCTTAAAATTTCTAAAGGTCAAAACCTTTAAATAAGACTTTCATGGATTATAAAAATTAAACTTTAACCAATGTCTAAAATGACTTTCAAAGCAAGAAAATCACTAGTTTAATCAAAAGTTTTCTCAAGCATCAAAGCTTGAGATGTAATTAATCATAGGGGCAAGCCCCTATGGGACGTCTGTACGTCAGAAATAAATAAACCCCATTCAACCAAACATTGAATGGGGGAATCTCTGTTTAAAATTATAAATTTTATCATTGAGTCCATAAAGAAATGATATTTTTATCTTTCGGGGTAATATATCATCATTTTTATGCAGTACTTAATCATAAAGTATGCAATCCGTTTGGGGACAACAAAAATTCTCTACCTCAAATTCTGATCAGACCCTTTAAAAAATTCACCAGTGGGTTCTTTAAATGTTTATCTATACTCCTATAGTTTATATAGGTCCTTTATTTTGAGGATGTATATGTGTTCATAATAACTTAAGGGTCATTTGGTGAAATGTTGAAATTACTGAACCTAATTTTTTTACGTGGTCCAAATTTGGTGGATCTATATTTAATTTCAACTCGTCTCTTTCATAAAGCATGCCCTTTTGTCTCGTTTACCTTAGCTTTTGACCTTGCCATTGAAGTGCTTTTGATTTTACTAAATCCCTTTTTTGTTTGTTTGTATTTTTCAAAATTCTTACTGAATTATGCGACATTTTTGGATATACATTTATTTGTTATTTTCTTTTTAAGGATTTATTCATCTCAGAGCTTCTAGTTTCTCATGCATAGTCTACACAGGTTTCTTTTTTGATTGAAGAACTTTGCAGGCATTTTATGTGCTTGATTTAAGCAGCATTGCATTGTGGTATTCACCCAGCATTGCATAACTTCTTATGCATATTCACAGACATTGCATAATGGTGTTCACCCAGTTGAACCTTTTTTGTTATTTAGGGATATTATGGAGTCTCGAGGCATGGAATACAAGGCATTGGCTCATGTTCAAAGTCTTAAATCTTCCCTTGACGAGCATAATTTGGATTATCGTGTAAAGGTTGCTATTGAAGCTGAGGGGAGAACACAAAAGAGGCTTGCAACTGCTGAAGCTAAAATTGCTGATTTAAGACAGAACTTGGAATTATCTCTAAGGTATAGTGCTGAAGGATACCAAATTTATGCCTTTCGAAAACATGATATTTGGTCGCTCAATGCTGTTATTTTATTAAAACTTTGTTTTCTTGATGTGGGTGATTTTTTGGATGGAGATATATGTATTTTTTTACTTGTTCATTGTTAAACACAGGCAAATAGTAAAGTCATCAGAAAATCTGACATCTAAGCATGAAGAGGGTCTAGTCTATCTTTCTGAGATTGAGGTTACTTTTATGATCCCAATCAAATGTCTTGTTCCTAATGTGTATATGCATTGAACTTATTATCTAGCTTTAAATTCTTGCAGAGTATTGGGCAAGCATATGAGGATTTACGAACTCAGAATCAACAACTGTTGCAGGAAATCACAGAGAGGGATGAGTACAATATTAAGGTGATTATCCTTAAAATCAGTAAAACTATATTCCAGTTTTTGTTTCTGCCAATTGCCTATCCTTTATAATTAGAATCAGCTTAAATAGTACTCAATTGGACCTTGTGGAAAGAGCTGCTTTTCTGAAGGAGAAAGCAGTTGTGTCGATTCTGAATGCCAGCAGTTATGCTATTTACTAGATCGTTTTACATGCCTTGAGCTGTGTTAGTTTTGACATCAGTATTCATAGCTTCTATTATTTTACTACTTCGGAAGAATTACAAATCATTAAAGATATGTATGCAACAGCTATTACTTGTGTTCAAACACAAGGTGGTTTGACCAAGTATTTTTCTATTTCAGTTGGATTACATCAAGGATCAGCCTTAAGCCAATATCTTTTTGCTTTAGTATTGGATGTTCTCACTAGACATTTGCAAGAAGATGTACCTTAGTGTATGCTTTTTGCTGATGATATACTTCTTGCTGATAAGACTAGAGATAGAGTTGAAGGTAAACTTGAATTATGGAGGTCTGTGGGCTTCGAAAGTTCGGCACCGGCCTCTGCCCGCTGTTGCTTTTCTTTTTTCGGGGAGGAGTTTTAATGGATTAAATTCTGTGGTAAATTTTGGGATGACATATGAGTTTGAAGATAAGACACTACCTAGAGATTTCGCCCTCATTTTGCGAGGACTTTATGATCTGAGTTCTTATTTTCTATAGGCGCAAGCCCTTATAGTTAATTACCCCTCCTGATAACAAGAGAGAACTTTCGATTAAGGCTAGTCGTCAATCAGATACGTAAAGATACGTGTTAACTGGCATATAGTAGCAGCATGGGCTTTTGAAATTTGGAATTTAAAGGGTTTGGATGTTGGAGGTTCAAGATTTGATATTTAAAATAGAAATTTTCATCATCTTGCAGTTAAAACGGATGGTGGGGGAATTTTGTTTTAAGTGGTTTGATGGTTGAATTTAAATTTTAAATATTTGGATTTTGAGATTTTTGAAAATTTGGATTTTCGAGTATTTGGAGTGGCGTTTTGAAATACTTGAAATTAACTCCTCCGGTTGAGATGTACGGTCAACGCGGCCATCATCAGGGTTTTCGGGGTCATTTCCATTTGAAAATATTTGCATTTTGTGGATGAACCTTGTCGACTCTGTCGAGCTGTCGACGGAGGATCAATTTTCATAGGCTTTATGCCTTTCTTGTTGAATTCTCATTGTTATAGGCCTTGAAGGCCTAATATGAATGTATTAAGACAAATATACTGGTCGTCGCAACCGTATATTTGTTTGATGGTTCGAACCCTGTCGACTCTTATTGATCCACATAAAAGGATCGGGTTCGAACTTGAATTCACCTATTGACCCGCGCAGTATCCCTAGATGGCACGTGTGTACTTATAACACGCTCATCGGAGCCCATGCGGATTTTGATTACACTTACCCCTTGTGCATCTATGTGTATAGAAATTACAGTGCATGTGCGGGGGTATTTTTGAAATATTTATAAACGTCATTTGTCCGCTTGCATGGATGTTGCAGATCCGGTGGCGTATTGTAGTAGCTTCTGAATTGACTTGTTCACTGCTTTATACAGGTAGACTGTCGTGCACTATTTGCATAATTTATGCAGGTAGATGGTAGTGCACTAATCTCCTGCTTTTGCTTGTGAATACTTGCATTCATCATGAGCTTCTATCTCTTGCCTCCTAGCATTGGATGTGAGTGATATTATTATCTGTGATTCCAATTTGTTGTTATTACTTGCGAGTATCTGCATTTGATATAATTTATTGTATCGGATGTATATATGATGCATTGCGTACATCATAATTCTTTCATGTACATTGACTAGTGAGTTGATATGTTTGCTTGTGCCTCGACTTTCAGTATAGATTGGAGATTGATATTCTTGCTTACAGGATCGATGTGAATGTTACACATCAAATGTACTCACCTGTAGGTGATATATTTAGTAAAGATCTTTGCTCCTTTAACTATGATTAAGTTATATATATATCCCTTTGATTTTCATTGCTTGTTGAGTTTGAATGCAGGTGAATTGATGCATTCATGCATATTGATCCTTTAGCATTTGTAAGAGACTACGACTTTCATTTGCTAATTTGCTGAAGTTGGCCGAGGGGATGTTGTGGTGTCTGCTGCATATTATTATTAGTCACTGGTTAAGCTACACACACCAATAACTTTTCTGTGCATGCCGGTTAGTAAGCTACTACCTTAACTTATATGTCTTTCATTGTTATCTATGAACAATTCATCAAACATGTATCAATGACCCTTCATGGTTCACATCGTTTATTGTTGTATGGTGGCATTGACATTTTCATTAGAAGTGTATTGCCTTTGCCTTTGGAGAACTATGGCATATGCAGTATAACTCTCCCTTTCTACTTACAGGTGGGGTATCGTATACATGATAAATCTCTTACGATGATTCATAGAGGCTCATATCTATCTGCTAACTATTGGTTCATGCCTGTAGATATCATCGGGAATAATCATATTTGTATCGAAAGCAAATGGACTATTTCCTTTGCGATCTTCTCATCTTGCTTGTAGACAAACTGTATTTACAAACTCTTTGCCTTCGAAACATGGCTTGTTGTATGTACGATGAATTTGATATCATTTGGTGATTAGAATGTGCACTTCCATTGATGCAATCACTTCTCAATATTCCATTAGAAGTCTTGTATTGTTAATTACAAGCATATCATTGCATTCTCCCCATGATCCTTGCTTTCATGGTTAACTTTATCATCTTGCCAAATTACAAGTCTCATTTTAAGCATTGAATTACATTCCCAAGTTGTTCATTCAATGTTCAAGTACTCCTGGTTTAGTTTGATTCAAGTCCTCATGGGTCAAATTACAAGTCCTCATTATTGTTCAAGTCATGATCAAATGAGGTTCAAATTATAGCATATCCTTTTGTATTTTTTTATTATTTAGGTTCAAATTGAATTAAAGTTCTTTATATAATTTTCAAGTTCATTTTAATGTCCACTTAAGTCCACAATCATTTAAATTGCAATCTCGAGTCCCTTAATGTCCTTTATACTTCAAGTCCTTGTCTTTAGACAAAATTTTGGTAGCCTCCCAGCGTCTTCACTGTTTAGGGGAAAAACCAAGAGGCAGCTTACCCCCTATGTCAAGAAAGACGTGCATGGTCGATGTTGTGAGACACCGCGGTCGTAGTCTTTGTCATCCACCTCGCCAAGAAAAGCGTGCATGGGTTTTTAAAAGCATATGTTTGAAAAAGCAGTTCTTTCCCCGCGTATGGGTACTTATATTTTTGCTCTGCCGCGCTAAAAAAAGAGCGCACAGGGATCGTCTGCTTCATTGTAAGCACCGCACCAAGTTCCCTCCCACCACGCTAAAAAAAGCATGCATGAGTGGTCCCTTGGCGCATCATTGTACTCTTTCTTATTTTTCCTTTTTCTTAATCATAGTTAATTTTAATTAAGTATAATTAATTATGATTAACCATAATTAAAGATAATTAATTACGATTATCACTAATGAATTATAATTAAATGTAATTTAGTAATTAATTAACATTAAAAATAATTAATTGTAATTAATCTTATTCAACTATAATTGAATACTAATGTTGACGAATATTTTCGCATCGACTCAACCCCGATCGAGCCCGACCAAGCTCGATCGCGCTCGATCAAATTCATAATTAATTTAAATTATGTCTAATTATCTCTAATAATAATAAATTACAATTAGAATATAATTAATCATTATTAATTTGAATTATAACTAATTAATAATTAATTAGAATTAAAATTAAAATCTAATTAATTATAATTATAGTTAATTAATTATAATCAAAATAATTAATTATAACTAAATTGAATTAATTATAATTAATTAAAATTAACTTTGATTAATTAAAAGGATTAGAAGAGGGATTGAGCAGGATTAATGTTTAAACCTAATAACAAGATTAAGGGAAATGTTAAGGGGTTGTTTGGTTGCCTGAATTAGAAGTGTAAAGCAAAACAAATACAGGTATTTATTAAATTGAGTTGTTTGGTTAATTTTGAACAGAACAAAAGAAAATCGTCGGATGCATTAGGCGTGTATTCTTGAGGCTGTTTTGCGGGAATTAGAAACCTGCTCAATATGAGCGGGTTACAAATTCGCTCGAAGAAAATTCCTTGGCGTCGTCGTTGCTGTTCGGCTTCATTGCTTCGCAGGAGGTGTAGGATTGCACGAAGAGGCTTCTTCAGCTCCTTCGTTCTTGTTCGACTTCGCTCCGTCGACAACGTTACCTTTGCCTGTCCGATCGGAGCTCGCAAGAATGGCTACGGCGCTTCTGTTAACCAACCTGGCGCTTCTCCTCCCTGAAGCCGCTTTGCCATCTAGGAAACGAGATCCGCTGTCAATAGTGACGATGAGTACGACGACGGAGCGGCGTCGGCCGGAAGCCGCGGTATCCAAGTCCTATCTTCCATCCCTCCTCGCCACCGGAGGAGAGACATCTCACCCAAAACCGCCGCTGTCGATTCACCGACGTAAGAAAACCAAGCTGGGTCCGACCGCTGCCTCCTCTTCCTCACCTTCAGCCTCTTCCGGTGGTGGTGGCGGGGGTGACTGGGAGCAAGAGCTTCTCAACCGGCTCAAGGAACTAGAAGATATGAAAGAGTTTGAGAGGCGCGCTCAGGAGCTGCAGAGCCGCAGCGCCCCTACCGCTGTTGAAGAGGAGGATGAGGGGGGCGGCGAAGACGAGAGCGAAGAGGAAAAGCGCGAGCGCGTCCGTCGTGAGCTCGAGAAGGTCGGTCGCTTCTTCGATTCACGAATTAAATGATTTTGTTGGATTTAAAAATACAAATTGAAGAATTTGTTCTTTACTTTTTGTCCTTTTTATTATATTTGTTATAAGAGTAGTTGGCCAAGGGCGGAGCGGAGGGAGACGTCCAAGCTAATTATCCCTAGGCCAACACTCTTTGGTGGAGAGGTGATTTTATTAGTTCTTGTAAAATTCTTGATTCATTTTTTGGACTGCTTCGAAGAGAATTGTGACGCATTTCTGAAATGCTATATGTTTGTTAGCCTAATAGTAGCATACCCGGTTTTGATTTGTTATATTGAAATCCAACGTTTAAAGGCTAATATATTCTAGGTGAGGTGCTTTATGTTTCAACGATATGCTATCTTATTCTTATTTCATTACTTTTTCTTTAAACTGATTTGTCACTATCTACAAGAACTGATGCTAGATCAATTATTTGATGCAAGGGAATTAGTTCATGATCTAATTGAAATCACTGAGAGCAAATAATTAGAAGAAAATCAATACACAAAAACATGTAGAGTTTTTATTCAGGTCTCTCTCGGTCATGCCACAAAGCAAGTTTTTTTACTTTATAAATCTTGACTCTATTTTATTTCTTTTATGAGGTTGTGAGCAATATTATGGAAGTTATTTTCAGCTACTGAATACTCAATTTGGTTATGTATGCCGGTTTTTATTTCTTTGTGTTGGTGAGGCATCAAGTAGGTTTAAAAAAGACAACCACTGCTGCAAAGTATTTATTTTATGAGAAGTTGACTTTTTTTATTAAGAATTAGACAATAAGAGATGGTTTTATTTTCAATGTATTTTTTATGTAGCCTTACATATTTCTTCGATGTTTGCTTATAGGAATAACTTATGTATTTTTGTAACTTCTGACATAGTATCAAATTGCATTTGCTCATTTCATATGGATGATTTAAAATCCATATATCAAATACTATTGCTTTTGAAACAGGATGATTTGGGAGAGGGTACTAATCAACGTTTAAAATTGCGCAATAAAAGGCGCGCCTCAGCGCAATTTCGTCCATTTAAGCCTCAAAGCCTACGCAATAAGTTTAGTTTATGAGGCTTACGCCTCAAGTTTACTGAGGCGCGCCTTCCTCGCCTCTTATATTTAAGGCGTCGCATTTTTAAAAATTAACCTAAATTTTTTTTTTTCAGTTCGGACCCCAGTTGTTGAAATTTGAAACATAAAACCTAACTAAATTTTAAATACCGAGTAAATATGCGTAGGCTGTGTGTACGCAATGCATCTTTTTTGCGTATTATATGCGTATACGTTGCGTGCTCAGTACTTATATTGTGCGTACTTTATGCGTGCGTATAATTTGCTGCCATATTTCCTGCACTGTGCGTTCTTGTGCGTGTGATGTGCGTAATATATGCGTATGTTATGCGTACACTGTGCGTGACCGTTGCTTATATTCTGCGTATGTTGTGAGTTTTTTGTGCGTATCTCATTTACTTATTTTTAATTTATCATTTTTTACAATTTTCAGATATATGTTCGTCCAATTACCTATAGATGCTATGTTTGTTCATTTCAAACAATCTGTGATAACTTTGCTCAGCAAATTACTCCTGAAGTCAAGGACACATTGAAACATTTAAAGATGATACAGTTTTTGAAATTTCTTGGGTTTGAGCAAAATGTCCCTCTTATTTATGAGCTGATCTCAAGGTGGGACATTTTAAAACAATGTTTTGTTATAAAAGGTCAACCCATTCCTTTCACTGCTGATGAAGTGACCCTTCTTACTGGTCTGCGAAATAAATGAGAAGAAATATCCTGGCATTCTTTAGCACATACTTCAGTTACATCAACGAAAATAAGGAATGACATGATCGAGTTGAACAAGCAAACCCCTCGGAGACTATGTTAAGAACGTTTATCATGTATTTATGTTCAAATTTATTTTTTCAACTTAACAACTTCAAAACCACTCGGTTGATTCAAAGAATAGCAAATAATCCAGATGATTTTTTGTCAATAAACTGGGCTAGTTCAATTAGAAAGTTTTTAGTTGGAGAGTTTAATAAGGAATCATCCAAGATTTCAAATAAGAAGCCAGCAGGTTACATCAACGGTTTTGTACCTCTGCTAATTGTTAGTGCTAAGTGCTAAGTGCTAACTGCTAAATTCATTCAAAATTTTATTGGCTCAATGTGAGTGCTAAAATTTTCTTTCATCTTATACAGATTTGGTTACTGGAGCATTCTACTATTCATGCTTCTATGTATGCTGACAAAAGGCCCCGTTTTCTTCGATGGGCCGATGATATTGTATATACTACAGAGGTGATCACTAACTTATTTACTAATATAAGGAAAAGTCAGATTTGTAATGTCCTACAGGCAGTTTCTCAGGCAGAAATGAATATGGTTAATGTAGAGAAATATCCATCAGACATCCCTCCATCCACTGATTCCCCTCATTAAATATCCACCTATCAAAACACCCCCCCTAATCTCTCTATCATACCCTACCTTCTCAGCAACCACATTTAAGTTTTTCTGCTGAAGCACTTCAGTCTCTACAAAAAATAATAATCAAATCCTGCCAAGAAACATGCACAAAATTTTTTCTAGAAATTGAAGACAGGCTGAGCACAAAGTTTGAAGATCTTACTGAGAGAAGTTGAGTTATTGAGGTCAAGCTCAATAATTACATTGATCAGAGCAAAATAGTTTATCAGAAAAGATTTGTTAGCTACTCTTCATCTTCCAATAAGATACATAAATCAGATATCCCTCCCCACAGCCCCAATGAACCAAATGAGTCAATCCCACCAAAAGATTCAATCCCACCAAATGAGCCAATCCCACCAAAAGATCCAATCCCAACAAATGTGCCAATTCCAGCAGAAATGCAACTTATTCTATATACAAATCCAAATGAACCAATACTAGTAGATAACATTCAAATAAAACCTGTAACTTATGTTTATGCAGATGAAATAGAAAATTACAAATGTCTTCTGTGTTTGACTTCTGAGAAAAGAAATTTTGTGCTAGAATGTTTGAAAAAGTTCTATAAAAGGTAAAAAATTGCAACTTATTTTTTGTTTGAAGATCTGTATGCGTATGATATGCGTGTGGTATGCGTATGGTATGCGTTTGTTATGCGTATGATATGCGTGGGTTATGCTTATGAAATGCGAATTTAATATTTTTTTTTGCAGGGGCGATAGTATCGTGTTTGTTGTTAACATTCTTATTTCCAGATTTGACATTGATGAGTTATTAAGCGACAGTTTTTTAGGCAATAAACATGTAGATATGTTTGCATATCTCTTAGATGAGAAGTGTGACCTTATGCCAGACAATTACCATAAATTTCAATACATCTCTCCAATCTATTGGGTTAGTAACTTAGTATTCAATTTATCAGTTTAACTATTGGATTAGTAACTTAGTATCCATTCTTAGTTCTTACATTTACTACTTGCACTTGCAAAATAACAAAGGAAGGGAAAAATTGTTCAAATTGCAAATCGATCATATAACCGAGCTTTCTGTTACTTCAAACAACATTTTATTACAACCAATCATTGAATCCAATCACATTACCCTTCTGGTTGGTTTGCTGAAAGAACAAAAGTGGAAATTTTATGACTCATTGGACCACCGCGTCAAAGAGCATAGGCTTGTTGTTCCAAAAATAGTAAGTGTTAGTCTGTTAGATACTTAGATGAACATGAACTCTTCAATTTTTAAAAAAATTATAGAACTAATCCTTGTTCTACGTATATTTTAGCTTTAAAAGCCCTATATTCTGACACGAAAGGAGCTTTTGATAGTGATATCAGAAAATGGAAGCTTTCTACCATTAAAGGAATACCAAAACAGCAGAACTCTTTTGATTGTGGAATGTATGTCTGTAAATATATGGAAAGAATAATTCTTGAGCAACACTAATCTGTGACTGATTAGTACAAATTCGCACAAAACATGCCAAAGTTATAGTGCAGAATGTTGCATATGATTACTTTGTAAAAACGGTTGTCAAATAACAGTTTTTTCATTCTTGTAATGTGAAGAATGCTTCTGTTGAAAATGTTTTTTCATTCTTGATTTGTGTATGAATGTTTTTCATTCTGGATTCTGTGTATTAAATGCTTCTGTGTATAAATGTTTCTTCATATCTATGTATAAATGCTAATAAACATAGTACGCACAACGACCCATAAAAATAAGCTAATGAACTCTAACATACGCCATAACGGAACGCATAGAGTACGCATAACCACGCATTACACGCAATAACTAAGCGGTAAATTGTATTTCCAAAATTCTATTATATATTTTATGAGGCTTAAACAGGTATGGTTGGGAGGATATAGGGTTAGCATTGATTTTTATGGCATTATACTTTACTAGAACGCACAACGAAAAATTACATATTAAAAATTATAGAACGCACTATTAAGATATGACGCATAAAAAATACGCATAATGAACTGACGACAAATTACGCATTACGAACGCAACCTACCATAACGCACGCATGATACACGCACACATAAGCAGTAAATATTATAAAATTCTATTAAATATTTTAATTAATATAATCTTTGTTTTGTAATTACTTACATTAAAATGATGAAGAATATGAAACATGAATAATATTGTTAACTTTGCCTTGTTGATTTTATGATTTCATTTTAATCTTGAATATGATACTTGAACAAGTACAAAGGGTTTATTATGGCTCTGTTGATTGATTTAGAGAAGAGAGAAATAAGGAATATGTGTTTGAAAGAGTTTGTGTTTTGGCAATTGCGTTTAAAGATTTGTTGAATTTTTATTTTTTAAAGCAAAAAAAAAAATTTTATAAATGATTTTGAAATCATTTTACATTATACGCACAACGAACGCATAAATAAGCATAATGAAACTTCTCAACCTGATACCATAACGAACGCATTGTAAAGAGTACGATACGCACGCATGATACACGCAATACAAGCGTGTAAATTTTATTTTCAAAATCTCTATTAATATTTTGTATTTGTGAGGCTTTAGCAGTATGGTAGGCGCACATTAGAAGTTGGGGATAGATTGATTTTTTATGAGCATTTATTACTTACTAGAACGCACAACGAAAAATTTACATATTAAACATAGAACGCACAACGAACGCATAAAATACGCATAATGAACTCGTAAAATACGCATTACGAACGCATACCGTACGCATAACGGACGCATGATACACGCACACATAAGCAGTAAATTTTATTCATAAAATTCTATTAAATATTTTAATTAATATATATCTTTGTTTGTAAGTTACTTACATTAAAATGATGAAGAAATAAGGAATATGAATATATGATGTTTATGGCTCTTGTTAGATTTGTATGATTTCATTTTCTAATCTTGAACATGATACTTGAACAAGTACAAATGGTTTATGGCTCTTGTTGGATTGTATTTAGGGAAGAGGAATAAGGAATATGATGTTTGTTTGGAAGTTTGTGTTTGGCAATTTCGTTCAAAGATTAGTGTTTGAATTTCTTATTTGTTTTAAAGCAAAAAATAATAATTTTATAAATGATTTTGAAATGTTTTTTACATAGTACGCACAACGAACGCATAAAATACGCATAACATACGCTTAAGGCACGCACAACAAACGCATAAATTACGCATTTAGTACGCATAAAACACGCACACATTCTATTAAATATTTTTGATTACTTACATTTAGTATGGAGTATGGACTGAGGGGCCGTGACATGAATAATAATTTTCGTTAGCTGTGGACTGACGGGTGGCAGATATGGTTGGGAGGATAATAGGGTAGGTTGAATTTTTATGAGCCTTTATTTACAATTTATTACTTACTATTGCTCAACATTAAATTTTTCACTATATAATGCAGGAACGTTTGCCTTATGGCAAAGTGTCAAAGCAAGCTTCTCTTGTAAAAAATCTTACCTTCTGTTGTCCAATATAAATAATCTTTGACAACCAAGCTTTCCATTCATTACTACGATATTTATCCTCCTCCCATGAAATTGATGCCAATAACTTGTAAACTTAAACCTCTCTAACCTGACCAGGTTTCTGTTAACAAGTTATTGGCATCAGGAACATGGGAGGAGGATAAGTATCGCAGTGATGGAGGGAAGGCTTGGTTGTCAAGGTGATTTATATTGGACAAGACATCAATCATAATTCCTGTAGGAAAGTTGATGTTGTTGTCTTGTTGAAGATGTACATTAGGGTCTCTTGTAAAATTGTATTTGTTATAAATGTTCTTTTAATTTGTTCTTATATTTTTTATATTGTACATAGTCATTAAATGTTCTTTTTTTGTATTTAAAGATGTACATTAAATGTTCTTTTTTCTCTTTGACTTTATCTTTCATTAAAAATACGCAATGTTGACGCAGAGACCACGCACAAAAAACGTATGGTGAACGCATAGTTTATCAATATATAACGCATAAGATACGCATAATGTACGCACAATAAAATAATTAATACTCCTGGTACTCAAACAATACCTAGAAAATCATGTTTTATTAACTACTACTACAAAATCATACATTAAATTACATCTGCTCCAAAACACGCAATATGCACGTAGGGTGTACGCACAAAATACGCATAAATACGCATAGAGTACGCAGTGTTCTGCTTTATCGACGGCTCGACATTATATAATACTGAACACATCCAGCCCGCATATTAAACCCTAAACTTATTTGCTTGGAGGTTTCTTCTACTGCGAGACTGCGAGTTGGGTTGCTGTCTTCTCCGTCCGACCAGCGTACGCTTCTGTCCGAGCCTCCGAGGCTGCTGTCTCCTCCGACCTGCATCAGGTCATATAAAAGATTAGTAAGAACTCGTTTGCTTCCTAAAATTTCTCTCAATCAGGATGGTCAAAAATAAGGATAAGGCTGCATCAGGTCATAGAAAAGATCCAGCATGGAAATATAGCACTCAGGTGGATGTAGGAGGAAGTGATAAAACATATGTCTATCTGAAATGCAATTACTGTGATAAAGTTGTGAAAGGTGGTGTGACTAGGATGAAGGAACACCTTTCAGGCTCTCACAAGAATGTTGCTCCATGCTCCAAAGTTCCTGATGCTGTAAGGGAAGAGATAAAGTCATACATGAATAAGTCTACCACATCAAAACATCTTGCACAGAAGCAATTTGAGGATAGAGTTGATGCTGGATCTTACTACGGGAGTGAGCGCAGCGTCAGGGATTCATCTTCTTCTATGAAGCCCATTTCATCTAGGGGTGCTAGAGGGCCTATGGATCATTATATGGTTGACACATCAGAGGATAGGCCTTCTACTACACAGAAGATGGCCCCAGAAAATGCAAGAGAGGCGCGGAGAGAGTGTGTAAGGATATAGGCAGATTCTTCTACGAAAATGCAATTTCATTTAATGTTGCAACATCACCTGCTTATTACAACATGATTCGTTCAGTTGGAGCATTTGGGAGAGGGTTCAAACCTCCAACCATGTATGATTTAAGAACATGGATTTTGAAGGAGTTGGAAAGCACTGATAAAAGCATTGAAGAAATTAAGAAGACTTGGGCCCAAACAGGAGTAACAATTATGTCAGATGGGTGGTCTGATATCAAACATAGAAGTCTGATCAACATCCTCATTAATAATCCTTATGGTACTGTGTTTTTAAGGTCAATTGAAGCATCTGACCAGGTCAAAGATGCTGAGTTCATATTTAGATTATTAGATAGCATTGTTGAAGAGATTGGAGAACATTTGGTTGTACAAATTGTGACAGATAATGCAAGTTCTTATAAGGCTGCAGGTAATAAACTTATGGAGAAGAGGAAACATTTGTATTGGACTCCATGTGCTGCACATTGCATAGATCTGATTCTTGAGAAGCTTGGGGATCTACCTCAACATAAAAATGCACTCACTAAAGCCAAAAAAATAACCAAGTTTATTTACAACCACTCTTGGATTCTAGCTCTTATGAGAAAGTTTTCGAAGAAAGAAATTCTAAGGCCAGCCGCAACAAGATTTGCCACCGCATACTTGACCTTAGAGAGCATGCTGGATGCCAGACAACCTTTAGAGGCTATGTTCACATCTACACAGTGGTTGAGTTGTGCTTGGGCGAAGAAGGCTGAGGGAAAAGAGATTAGAAAGATTGTTTTAAATGACAGATTTTGGCAAAGTGTCTTATATGCCATTACAACCACTAGACCTTTGGTTCATGTTTTAAGGATGGTGGATGCTGAGAAGAAGCCTGCAATGGGTTTCATCTACAATGCTATGGATGAAGCCAAAGAGATGATTGCCTCCAACTTAGGAGGCAGTGAGGGAAGCTTTAGGGAAATTTGGAATATTATTGATGATAGGTGGGAACTACAGCTTCACCGACACTTGCATGCCGCTGGCTACTACCTAAACCCTCAGTATCAATATGCAGAGAACAAGTCTACAAACCCTGAAATAAAGTTGGGATTATATCATTGCATGGATCGTCTAATAAGTGATGCAACTGAAAGATCAAATGCTGACTTGCAATTGGTACCTTTTAGGAACAAAGAAGGTTTTTTTGGATTACAACAAGCAAAAGATACAATTGCCAAACGATCTCCAGTTGAGTGGTGGATTCAATTTGGTGATGGGACTCCAGAATTACAACGTTTTGCTGTGAAAGTTTTGGGCTTGACATGCTCTTCATCTGGCTGTGAAAGGAATTGGAGTACCTACAACCAAGTGCATACAAAGAGGAGAAATCGCTTGTCGACATTGAGGATGAACTCACTGGTGTACATTATGTATAATAGGAGACTCAGAGATAGAAATTTGAAGAAAAAAGGATTAATGGATGATGAAGATCCTTTGCTTTGCGATGATGTGGCATCTGATGATGAGTGGTTTGTAGATGATGAAGTTGAAGTGATGCCGTCTGAATTACAAGATGAAGATTTAAATGTTGATTTCTTTGATGGTCTTAAAGCATCCACATCCACCACAACTCAAGAACAAATCAAAAAAGGTATATAAATAATATAGTTTTCTTTTCTTAAACTTTTATTAATGTATTACACTATTATTCATTATGATATTGTTCAAAAATTTCTACTATTTAGGGAAGAGGAAGATAACTAATAATGAGGAAGAAGAAGCTGATTGGGAGATATTGGACTCTATAGGAGAGGGGGAAGATGAGAGAGCAGCTCATCATAATGATGATTCAAATGAAGACCCCCTTAGTGATGACTGCTGAGTGATGATAATGCTGATGACTAGTGAGTTCTTAACTTCTTATGTGATATGTTAATGTCATTGCTATTTATCTTGTGTATTTTTATGTTTTATATATTATTTACTCATTAGTATATACAAAATTTATTATTTTATGTTTACGCAATTTTTTGATTTTGAGGCTTACGCCTCAAATCGCCTTGAGGCTTACGCCTCGCCTCAAGAACGAAAAACGCCTCAATACCCGAATACGCAATTTTAAACCTAGGTACTAATACTGATCTGGATGCTTATGAACTCAACAATAAGTTGCAGATTACACAAGAACACGGATCATCTTATTCAAAGTTCGCTCCTAGCGATCCTGTTGGGCCAGTTGATGTTGAGGTGGATTTAATAACCAACATTTTTGAAAATATAGAAGTTGATGTTCCTGTATCTATACAGGAGCAATGTTCAAACTCTCCAGTTCAGAATGACCAACTCGATTCATATATTAAGGAGACAATGTCTATTGAGAAGGAAGAATAAAATAGTTTTTTAGTTAATTTTTGTTTGAAAAGCTGTTTTAGAAAGCAAGAAGAAAGCTATCCCAAACGAAGTTTAAACAATCGGTGATTATTTTTATAAATACACAAGTTCTAATGATTAAAAAGTATTACAAATACACTATTTTTACTTTACTCTGGATATATCTAACCAAACAAAGGAAACATTTCTCCTGCGTTTACTTTGCAGACAAACAAACAGCCTCAAAGTATTTAAAATGCACTACATTTATTTTACACTGCATTTACTTTACATTGCGTTTACTTTGCAGGCAACCAAACAGCCCCTAAATCTTACGGCTGAGTTAAATCCTCCTTTCTCCCTTCTTGCCTAAACCCCTAATATTCGGTGTATTAATTGGATTTGGCCGAGGAAGCGTGCGAAGGAGAGAAAATTACCCTCACAGACAGCAAGCTCCCGTCACTACTTCTGATCAAAATGTCGTAAGGTCCTATCTGACAGGAAAAAAAATGTCGTTGATGGAGCAAAGTCGATCGACAACGAGGGAGGCGGAGAAGCGATTTCACTGCGAGCGAGCTCCAACGTCTCCTATCAATATGTTGTGAGGTCCGATCCAACAGGAAAGGAGCGTCGTCTGAGGTGGAAGGGGGGATTTAGGTCCAAGGGTTTGGCAGAAGAAGGCGACGGAAGCCGGAACTTGGAGTTGGATGTCGACAAGGTAAGAGAGCTCTATCTCTCTATCTCTAGGCTGAAGGAAGTTGGGGTGTGAGTCAAAGCAGGAGATCAGGATTTGGTGGAGTTTGAAAGCTTCGGTCATTAGAGATCGTGTTGAAATAATTGAAATTTAGTTTTTTATTGTTGATATTCTTACAACATGTATTTTGATGATTCCAAATATTATTGTTTTGATTAAAATTTCACCTAACATATTTTTGATTCATTGGTTTGTTGTCTGTGTGTACTAACATTTCAAAGAATTCATACTCCAGATTATTGAAGACTTCAAATCAGATCAGTTTAGGGTTTATTGTAAACGAAGTATGTATTTTTCATTTTATTGAGTCTGAGAGAGTGTGATTGTATTTGAGTAACTGTGCACACACACACTGGGGGAGAGTTTAAAATGTGCAACTTTCAAACTGATCATTCTTTACGAAGTAATTTCGTATGGGACAATTTGTTCAGTTATTTTCCCCTAAAAGTTGTCAAACGAACATAAAGTATAAAATTTTTCTAAGTATGGATCTTACTGTACGATATCACATTCGTGCGTACGCCATCTAGTGTGCGAGTTGGATGGGTCTCTTTTTGTCCAGAGGAACTTGAAAATTTTCATAACTGATTGTACCGTACGATGTCGTCATCGTAAGTCGCCATCCAGGGTACGAAATTGTGTAGTCCCTCTTTGTCCCGACAAACTTGAAAATTTTTTATACTGATCGTACCGTACTATGTCGTCATCATATGTACGCCATCCAGGGTTCGAAATTGTGGAGTCCCTCTTTGTCCTGACAAATTTGAAAATTTTCATAATTGATCGTACCATACAATGTCATCATCGTACGTACGCCATTCAGGGTACGAAATTGTGGAATCTCTCTTCGTCCCGACAAACATGAAAATTTCCGTAACGGATCGTACCGTACTTGGAGGATATGAACATATGATGGTTCTCTGCTGACACTTGGAGGTTGTGAACAGATTACGGTTCTCTGCCGACACTTGGAAGGTGTGAATAGACGACGGTTCTCTGTCGACACTTCGAGATTATAAAAGGACGACGGCTCTCTGCCGCACCTAGGTTTGGTGGAAGAGAGGATTTGTAAAGGCTTCTCCGCCTTGCTGTGGGGGCAAAAGGAGAGATACTTTGGTAATAATGCAATCCCTAAAGACTCCGTCTTCAGGAAGTGGATGTAGGTCATGTTTGACTGAACCACTATAAATCTTTGTGTCTTTTAATTTTTCGCATTCATTTTCTGCAATTTAATTATTGTGGTTGAAAGGCTTATTTTTAAATTAAAAATCAAATCGCTAAAAAAATAGGTTTATAAGGTTTTCTAGTTAAAAATCAAAGAGATTTTTTTTTTAATTACCAATTCAACCCCCCCCCTCTTGGTTAGCCTTGGAATAATAGCTTAGGTTTAACAACATATATAGAATCAACGTATAGGACAATGCAGTGAAGATGGGTAGAGGGCGACGGGATTCGGCCTGGAGATCAGAGGAGTTTGGATTTGGCTTTGGAAGTGGATGGAGGCTTCGGTTGTGGATCATCAAACAAAAGAAGCCTTCCTCATCTCCCTTTTATAAACACGAGTGAAGGCATGATCGATACCAGATTCTCGAGTTTTGCGGGAAGAGACCGATTTGGCGATGCTGCACAGTACCTTGGTGGAACTTCGGCAGGATTCGCGGGATCCTGGCAGCAGAGGAATGTTGTGTATTTCTTCTCATTTTTGTTTCTTTTGGCCATAATCTAGAGGTCAACAAGGTCAACCTTAGAGTCTAAAGGTTTTCGCTTGAGTAGATTTAAAACTGAATATATAGAGTGTAATTTTAATAGTAATAGACTTAGTGAGGGGATTGTGACTTTGGGTGATCAAGTCATTAATAGGAGTACATGTTTTAGATATCTTGGATCTATTGTTCAGAGTGATGGTGAAATAGATGGGGATATTATCAACGAAATTCAAGTTGGATGGTTGAAGTGGAGGAATGCATCGGGCATGTTGTGTGATAGAAAAGTCCCCTTCAAACTTAGGGGAAAATTCTATAAGATGGTGGTGAGACCTGCAATGCTTTATGGTGCCGAATGTTGGCCATTAAAAGAAAAGCATAAAACTAAGTTAAGTGTTGCAGAGATGAGGATGGTCAGGTGGATGAGTGGCTTTACCCTTAGAGATAGAATACGAAATAAGCATATACGTGAAAAGTTGGAGTAGCTCCAATGGAATATAAGATTAGAGAGAGTCGCCTTAGATGGTTTGGCCACATAAAACGACGGCCTTCCGATGACCCGGTTAGGAAAGTAAAGGTATTAGATTTGACTTATGTTAAGAAAGGTAGAAGTAGACCTAAAAAGACTTGGTTGGAAAATATTAGAAATGATCTTTCTTTATTAGATTTAAACGAGAATTTGACTTTTAACTTGACACAATGGAGAAAAAGGATTCATGGCGTAGTGGGACAAAGGCTTGATGTTATTGTTTTTTGTTGTTTGAATAATTACAAAGTTTAAAATTTTTTGAGGCATATTGCAACTAGTTCTTTATTTTATTTTATCTCGGGTGAAGAGGCCTTTGTTGAGCTAGTGATGATTTCACTGTGTTTGTGTTTCGCTAATGTGGAAATGAAAGTGGCATCATAAGGAGATAATGATATATGTTCTTCTTATCAAGCTACATATATCTCTTATTAGGCTATAGATATCTCTTCTACTTATCCAGTACATAATCTAGTGTAAGATGAAAGAACCTTGCTAACTCATTTATTCAACAAAATTTTAGTGCCTTTGATTTCTGGTGTTGGAACATCTAGATGATAATGCTTTTCTTTTGCTTTTTTTCGTTTTGTACCTAGATATACTTTTCCTTAATGGTTAATTTTTTTAGAGTAGCAATTCCTTAGCACATCCACAATATTTTCTTGAACTTGTACGTCTTGTTCATGATCCATACCATGTTGGATTGTTGTGCCCTTGAAACCCTTATTTATTTGAGCCTCCCACATCAACACTTACACAATAAGGAATTGTTGGTATTCATATATAAATAAAGTTCCTTGAGGAGGTTTCCATGGATAGCATTGCACAAATGGCCTACCCTAGAAGATGAGTGATGATAGCGTTCAATGCGGTGACAGGAGCAGCAAGGAGCTTTACAGTTGACAAAATGATAATGTCACGACCCGACCCGGATACTCGATTTAACGAGATCTCTCTCTCTCTCTCTCTCTCTCTCTATATATATATATATATATATATATAACATTGGATATTTATTCATTAATTTAACATTTAATGCATATTTCATTTCTTTATTTAATTTCATTTTATATACATACTATATCGTATTCCTTTACCTTTTTCATACTATAGCATGTTTATTTATAACATTTATTTAACAATTATTCCTTTTCCTTAATTCTTATTGTATAGGAGCACCGTCTAAATGTTCCAAGGGTACAATCTTTTTTCATTTCCATTTCCATTTTCATATCATTTTCCTTATTTTACGTGCACGAGTGCGTTGCTTCCCCAGTCAGTACCATACGGGGGTGAACTCCTGTAAGTTTTGCATGCATAACATTTTCCCTTTCCCTTTTGATTCATTTATGTTTGTATCATTTTCTTAACATTTATTTATTTGCATTCTTTCATTCATATATACTTTCTTATTATATGTACGTTTTCTTTCTTTCACATATCCATACTTGTACAAACATTTACTTCTTATAATAGTTTTCAATTTCCATTTCTATTTTCATATCATTTTCCTTATTTTACGTGCACGGGTACGTTGCTTTCCCAGCCAGTACCATATGGGGGTGAACTCCTGTAAATTTTGCATGCATAACATTTTCTCTTTCCTTTCTGATTCATTTATGTTTGTATCATTTCCTTAACATTTATTTATTTGCATTATTTCATTCATATATACTTTCTTATTATATGTACGTTTTCTTTCTTTCACATATCCATACTTGTACAAACATTTACTTCTTATAATAGTTTTAAAAAATATATAAATCATAAGCTTTAAACAATTATATGCATGCTTCTTTCGAAATGAACTAGAAAATACAATAAAAAAAATTTCATAATTACCCACTTTATTTTCTCTTCCAATATTCGTCCAGAAATGATAATTGTTCACAATAACATAATGATTTAATTAGTATTAAATCAAATTGAATGCCTTAACAATATTTAATTCCTTCTATAACATTACCTCTATCTTACGATAGTTTTCTTTTATATGAATTCTTGTTAAATCGAACTCCTATAGCTTTCGATCTTTTCCTTCCCAAAATCTCTAAAATCAATAATAATTTCTTTTAAGAAAACTTGACTTGCTAATAAAACTTAATAAGAAATTTCTCATGATATAAATTTACTTACAATGGGGATTTTCCAAATTCCCTAAAATCCTTCTTCCTCTTTCAAAATTCTTTCTCCTTGCTTTCACGCCCCTCTTTTCCTTTAAGAAACATATCGTTCGCTTTAAATGAAGTAAAATAAGGAAATTTATACGAAAATTCAAAAGAAAATCCAACAAACCTTTTTTCTTCTTTCTCCTCGGTCGTTTCTCTCATTCTTTGAAAT